AAGCAATGGTTTCGTTAACACGAGCATGAAATTTTTTGAATTATTCAACTAGGATGCTTAGTTCTCTCAAAAACTGTCTTTGCACATTTAGCTTCGTATCTCCGAAATGGCAGGACCCGCCTTTGTCAAAAACTAATCACCACTTCGCAGAATATGCAGAAAGTTTTTTAGATCATTCAAATCGGACGCTTAGTTCACTCAAAAACTGCCATTTTCTGCACATTTAGCTCTGTATCTTCGAAATGGCGGGACCTGTCTTTTCCAAAAACTAATCACCTCTTCTCCCAATCATTACAAATTGAATGCTTTTTAGATCATTCAAATCCGATACTCCGTTCTCTGAAAAAATCGATTTGTCAAAAATTGACTTGCCTTTGCCAAAAACTAATCAGCACATCTCCCTATCAATAGGGATCGAATGTTTTTTAAACCATTCAAATCGGTTGATCCGTGCGCCCGAAAACGTGGACGAAAAAATGCGGACACACAAAACACACACACACACATCCATTTCTTCCGAGGTTTGCCAAAATGTTCAGAAACCTTCAAAACGCAAAAATTTTCATTTTCGATTTACGTCCCATTACTATAACTACCCTACGGGAAGTTAAAAAAAAAGTAGTTTTCAAACTTTTTATATGATATAGCTTTCTTTCATCTGATTTGTAATTCAATAAAGTTGTTTTTGTTAGTTAATTCTAATATTTAAATTTGAATAAAACAAACTTTTAAAGCAAATAGGTCATCATAACGTACTGTCTAGTATGATTAAATTTTTTATTGTTATTGAAGTTAATTACTTAAATGCTGTTATTAAATATAAATCTTAAAAAACTTTTCCATCTTTTGATCCTATTTAAAAAAATTATAAGTTTGTTAAATTGTTTAAAAAACTAGTGGGGTGTGTGGTATCGTGCCTTAAGGCAAAATGCTGGAACTTCCCGTATCGTAACGAAATGTTCGAGAAATACTGAATGTTTTCAAATAGATTATTATAAATATTGTAACATTGTCTAATATTTATAAGAATTATATAAACTGAATTGCAAAGTTGAAATTATTTGTTTAAAGTATATTAGAACTATAGTCAGAATTAAAATTAAATCTGAATTATTTTCGATATACAAAAAATTAAAAAAAAAATTGAAAAAAAAGTTGAAACAAATTTTTTTTTTCCAAAAACAATTATTTTGTTAAGACAAGCAGAAAGTTCTTTGAATCAATTAAATCGGACGCTTAGTTCTCTCAAAAACTGCCATTTTTTGTACATTTAGCTCCGTATCTTCGAAATGGCTGAGCCTACCTTTGCGAAAAACTAATAACCATTTCTCCCAATCATAACTAATTGAACGTTTTTTAGATCATTCAAATCGGATGCTCCGTTCTCTCAAAAACTCGATTTCTATTTTCTGCACTCTTTGCTCTTTATCTCCGAATCGAATGTTTTTTGAACCATTTAAATCGGTTGATCCGTACGCCCGAAAACGTGGACAAAAAATTGTATCCATACATACATACATACACACATCCATTTTTTCTGAAGTATGCCAAAATATTCAGAAACCTTCAAAACGTCGAGAAATGTAAAAATTTTCAATTTTGATTTTCGGCCCATTACAATAACTTACCCTACGGGATGTTATTTTTTAACTGGCTATAAAATAGAAAGAAACCAATGGATTCGTTCCATAAATAATCAAAATTCTTTTGTTTGGAATTATATTATGGTCTTTAGTGGTCCCACTTTGAATTAAGATCTTTTGAAAAATATTTATGAGTCTGCGGCCCCTTTGGTCGAGGCCCCCTTGACCAAACAGCTGAGTCGCAAGTCCGTGGCATTTTTCCATACCTGCCTCCCTATAGTTACGCCACTGATTATGTCTTTCCCTATGGTAACATTTATTCAGTAAAATGCAAGTTGTTATCAAGATCTGAAATATTAATTAATAACAAATAATCAAGCATATTTGTGAATTGCATTTTGCAAACAAAAGATACGAACAACGAATATATAAATATTTAATTTATAGCATCCGACGGAAGAGCTCTACTCGAAGTTTGAGCGCGATTATTATTAAAACAAACATTAAACATCACGGGCTAAACTATTCCAAAAAACTTTGTGTTTTGGAATAGTTTAGCAGGGACATAGACATAGCGTGCTTTGGCGGAGCTCCATATGTGATAAATAAAAACTATAGAATATATAGTTTCTATAGAAAACATATTTCTATAGAAACTATAGATATATGTTTTTTTTATTAATATTTCTTACAACCAATCTGAATCTTGGGTTCAATGAGGTTATTTGCTGACGGGTACAGGGTTTTTAGAAATTTCCCCAGTGGGGAATTTCCTTACATAAATATATTGTTTGTTAATTTATTAAATCTTGCGGCCACTTTCTTTTTAATCTTCTCATAGGTACTTGTTTTAGCAGGTCTTTTATTAGAGTGTTTGGTTGGTATGCGTTCTTTTGATGATATTTCGTACTTCTCTCCTTGATAACTTCCTAAAAGAACTATATGTTCGTCATGATCATCAATATTTATCTCTCACTTTTTCCCAAATTCCTTCTAACAATTCAAATTCAACGTACTCACTTACTAAATCATTTATAGCTGATTAGGGCTAAAGTTTTTCTAATGTTTCTGCTTCTGTGGACAATTGTAACAGATATGACTTGCGTCCTATCTTATAGAAGTTTTTAACATCCCGAAGGAGATGTGTACGGTTTTGCCCTAAAATCCAACTTACTAATTTTCTCAACGTTTCAAGTTATTATAGATCGTCTAACCAATTTGGAAAACTATGAGTGTGTGTAGGTCAGTCAAAGTTAGACCTTTCGTGGACGTTTTCTTAAAAATGACTGCATCGATACTAATCGATATCGATACAAAAAATTAGAAGCCATTTGATAAAGTTTGATAAGGAGTGGTGTTATTTAGTTTTTTGCAAAGATGGGTCCGGTCTTTTACATGAAATTAGCAGGAACCTGGAACGTGCTAAAATTATCATCCACTTTTTTACAAAAATTCCAAACCGGTTCTAAAAATTGAAAAACTGTTCGAAAGATTTCGGTTGGAATCGTGCTGGTAAATCAGCTGGGCCATTTCTTTGCAATTGTTTGTTAAAAAAAATATTCTGACTATTTTGATGAAACTTTTTATGAACTTTTAGATATAGTAACCATAAAGAATATCCTGAAACAAAAGTATGATAAGACTGCGACAAGTCGTTCAATTTTAAAAAATTATCAAAACTTGGAATAATGATCTAAACCAAAATTTGCTAAATCTGAATTCTTGTTGATCATGTTTATTATTTAAACGTATTGAAAAGTTCATGCAACTTGTCCAAAAGCAAAATGATATTTATCATTAGTTAATTTTTTTATTACATACCTTTATCTTTGAAAAACTTCTTTTAGCATTTGCGGTTGTTTGTTAATTTATGCTTAAGCGCTTGGCCCAGGAATATTATAATCCTCTAAAGTTCTATTTTACATTTTTCAAGTTCATCCTTTTTTGAAATTAAATTTAGTTGGTACAAAGTTTTCATGATTAATTCGACTTTTGACTTTTAAACAAATTTATTGATTGGCCATTGTACAATTAAGTACTAATAATGATATTTTCTGGAAAAATCGCCAATGAATAAACAGAATTTGGATATTGCGATTGATGCTATCACCATGGAACTATCATTTAATGCAATCTTGTGTAATTCAATCATAAGTGAATGACATCTCAGCTCAAAAGATCAAATTAGAATTAAAATAGACAAAATATAATTATGTAAATAACATTTAAAACGATATAATAATTGTACTCCCTAAAATATGGAAAAATATCCTATAGAAAATTGAATGACCTCATCAACAATAATTCTGACTGAACTATTTTTATAAATTTCCACATTATTATCATTATCTTTATCACTGTTATTAATATTATTGTAATCATTTATTAGTTTCTTCAGTTTTAAATGACGCATTACATGGACTGTATATCAAATGAACTTACTTCAAAATTTTATGCACAATCAATCTTTGATTCATTATTAATAAATATATAGTTGTAACATAAACTAAATAATAAACATAAAGAAATAAAACGATAATTCAAAATCAAAAATACTATCTATTTATCGCAAATCGCACGAGTAACACGTAAGTTGAATATAAATATTAATTTTTTGAATCATCATTTTCATTCATCCAATAGTAAATAATAATTTGATTTTTTAATACAATAAAGCTGAATAATACGATATAATTTATACAGTTATTTAGTCAATCTCAATATGGTTTATTAAATTCATCATAGTTTCTTCAATCTTATTTATATAAAATTTGTAAAAACTAATCATAACTAATCATGTATTAAATATTATTCATCAAGTTAAAAATGAGTCAATAAACAAACCTAATTAATTTATTAACTTCCCGTGGGGTAAGTCATAGTAATAGCAAAAAAATTAAAAAAGTAAATTTTTATATACCTTTACGGATCAAAGGATTCTGAACATTTTGGCATGCCTTAGAAAAAGTGGATGTGTGAGTATGTATGTGTGTAACTGTGCATGTATGTGCGTACACAATTTTTGTCGACGATTTCGAGAACACGAATCAACCGATTCAAATGATTCAATAAGCATTCGCTTCCTATTGGTGAGAACATGTGCTGATTCCAAGATTCCAGTTCAGCCATTTCTTATGTACTGGGTAAAAAGTGCCAAAAATGGTAATTCAGTTTTTGAGGGAACGGAGCGTCCGATTGCTACGCAGTGCGTTTGCTTTAGAAAGAAATCAAAATTTTCAAGAAGTTGCAAAATAAAAAAAAAACTTTTTAAAAAAGTCCAATAATTTAGAAAAAATCAATATTTTAGAAAATCTAATTTTATCAAAGTTTTCAAAATGTTTTAAAGCTTTTAAAAACTTTAAATTACGGTACGGGGAGTTCAAGCAAATTGCTTTAAAGCACGATGCCATACCCCACTAGTCTTTTATTTATCCTCTGTAAGAGTAAGATCCGCTTGAAGACGTATCTGGGTTTTGACACTGAGTACCTCTTACAAGATCATTCACATTGGCCGTATATATATGAAAATTAAGTATAGAAGTATCTAATTCACTATAAATGAATATTGGCATAGAGTTTGCAATAACCCAAAGATTATTATCATTATCCACTTTAATATCACTAGGATATATTAAACTAGCATCATCTTGAGCCAAAAGGGCGTGATTTTCCATTGTAAATGGCTTTTGTGTATTCCAGCAAGCTACAGCGTTTCGGCCAACTTGGGCGTAAAATAAAATACCACTGACAGGATCCATTGCATGCATAGCTGTTTGAGTGCGAGGTCCTCGTTCTCCAAGTAACTGAAATATATTACTTATTAAACTTCAAATTAATCAATAAAATACAATAAATTAAAAATATAATTTTGAAATATAATAAATAAATATAACATTAAATAGGCATCGTGCCCTAAGGCAAATTGCAGGAACTTCCCGTACCAAAAATTATTTTTTTTAAAAAAAGATTAAAATTTTTAGCAGTTATCATCAACATGTGACATTCGGTATTGGATCTGGTCCGACTCGATCATGCAACTTTCACAAACGGAGGTTGAATGCTAGGAAGCTTGACCCTGAAGCGTCGCGAGCAGCCCTTGAGCAACACGCATCTACTCTTCAAGTTGATTCAACACTAAGTACGCACAGAGAGACGGAAGAAACAGTCTTTAGACTGTGAACGCTATTATCACCCCATGTAACGCCTCTATTCCACAACTAAAGTACACAGTTCAGCATATTGGTGGTCATCAGAGATAGCGGAACTACAAAAAAGATCCCAAGCACTACGTCGCTGCGCCACAAGAGCTGCTACATAACAAAAATTAGTTAATCCGGATTGTGGAAAGAGATTTGCAACTATCTCGACAAATATCTCTGAGGCAAAGCCAATCAAATTGTTGAATAGAAAGAGGGTTGATAGTGGAAACAAACATCGGAAGGTCATCAAGAACACGAAGTTACTTCATTGCTCAATCTCAGGGGCCGATCTATGGAACGCTGTCTACGACGAGCTCCTGGAGATCCCTTTGCTGAAGCAAGTGAAACTTTGCGGACGACGTCGCAGCTACGATCGTAGTAGACAGCACTGAAGAGGCTGAACTACTTGTTCGAAAGACCATTGGTACCATAGAGACCTGGCTTGAGAAACACAACCTAAAACTTGCCAAACAGAAAACGGAGATAGTTGTCTTGACTCGACTCGGGACCATTCACTGTAGACATAGGAGAGACAACTTTGACGTCAACAACTTTGACGGTCTTGCGCTACCTGGAGTAATGATAGATGAGAAGCTATCCTTCTGTAAACCCCTCGATAGTGCATGCATGAAAGCCAGCAAGATGCTATCCAACTTGTCCATTCTGTAGTGCTTGAGGTGGTTCATTCTGTACTGCTATACGGAGCGGATATATAGGTGGATATCCACAAGCAAAAGACTTATCGGCGCAAAATAACGTCAGTCAAGACGAGGAACTCTGAGAGTTACCTGTGCCTATACCACGGTCTCAGAAGCAGCTGTATTGGTAATATCAGGAGCCACACCGATTGACTTGTTAGCATTCGATAGAGTAAAACTGTACGACGCTAAAATAGGTGGCGACAACTCCAAAGGAACAAGATTGAGAATAAAACAGGAAACGTTACAAAAGTGGCAAAATCGGTGGACGTCAGGAGAGACTGGCAGATGGACGGTGCGCTTGATTCTGGACATTAGCGTCTGGCTCTCTCGACAATACGGGGACACAGATTTCTTTTTGACTCAGCTACTGACAAGACATGAACAGTTTAATCTCTATCTTTTTAAGATGAGCTTGCATGGCACGCCAATGTGTAAATACTGTCGACGCTGAGCACACGTTTTTTGAATGTCTTCGGTGGAAGGGCTATCAAAACAACGCCGAGGACATTATAAGCACCAGATTCACTCCCTCAAGCCTTGTGACCTACATGATGAAACAAGAAGAAAACTGGTTAACTGTAGCAGCTTATGCATAGCATCTATTAAAGAATAAAACCGGAGAAAGGGACCAGTAGTCGCCGAGGACATTATAAGCACCAGATTCACTCCCTCAAGCCTTGTGACGTACATGATGAAACAAGAAGAAAACTGATTAACTGTAGCAGCTTATGCATAGCACCTATTAAAGAATAAAATCGGAGAAAGGGACCAGTAGTCGGAAGCAGGCGTCGCAAGGCGCAGCAAGGACTGGATTTATGTAATGCTAACGCGGTTCCAATCCAGTCCACTCCGTACCACCTCACCTGAGGGGAGAGGGGAAAGGAGTGTTTTTTTAGTGGGTAAAAAACTCCACACTACCGTTTATCGTTGTCTGCTGTGGGATGGACAGCGTAGTATCAACGATGGCAGTGTCTTATGAAGATTTTTTTCGCACCTCTATAAAAAAAAATTATTTTAATTTTTTTGCGATTACTATAACTTACCCTACGGCAAGTTAATAAAAATGTATATATAATAAACCCTCATTCTTCTACAGCACCACATCTCGAAACACTCGAGACAGTATTTATTGCCCATTTATAGTGTTGAGTAGAATCTCTGATCGGTACAGATTATAGCGCAAAGTGCGCCTTCTAGTTCTGTCAACATAGTATATATTTGATTTGGTTTTTCACAATCGAAAAGTTCTTAGGTTTCGGGTTCTATAAACTTTGTTGACTAATTCGATCGATTTCTTAGCTCAATTGGCAGCACCGCTGAGTCTCTTTTCGTAAGGTGACTATACTTTCATATTACTAAATAACTTATAGTTACCTTAGCCAACAAACGCTCCTGAACGTTAATATCAAACAAAAAAATTATGTATGTGTGCCATTTGGACGTTCTGGTCTACAATTTCGTGCGCACTTGTATTGGAGGTATACAAGTAGACAGGCAAACAAAGAAAATAAAAAACAATATTTAGATAATGGGATGCCCGTTATTCACATGATCAATTTTCAAGAATTTTTAGATCTCTTTTTACCACTTTTATAATATATGGTAATATTTAAAATAACCCACCACGCAACATTACGTGTATTTTTAGCACTTAGTAAAAATCGTAAAATTTTCAATTTTTTTTGAAAAATTTCGGATTTTTTAAAAATTCAAGTGAAAAATAAATACACGTAATATCTTAGTAGACTCTATCCTCCCCAACGTGATAGTTTGTGATCAGTGGCGTAACTATAGGGTGGCGTGGGTGGCAAAATGCCACGGGCCCCCGGCCCAAGGGGGCCCCGGCTCAAGAGGACGCGTGCTCAGAAATATTGTTTCTACATTATACTCTAATACTTTATTTCATTTGAAAAGTATGTTTTCGTAAGAATCAGGGGCGTAACTACCGCCGTATCAGCCATATCAAATATACGGGGCCCCCAAACCAGGGTGCAGAAACATTAATAATATGAAAAAATCATGAAAAACGAATTAATCATGAAAACTTCGTTCAATCAAATTTAATGTCGTTAAAAAAGTACGCGAGGAATGTAAGATTATTATTTTAAAGAGTTTTATTTTGTCCAGGCCACGGGGGCCCCAAATACGTGTAAAAAATACGCGATGAATGTACGATTATTATTTTAAAGAGTTTTATTTTGTCCAGGCCACGGGGGCCCCAAATACGTGTAAAAAAGTACGCGATGAATGCACGATTATTATTTTAAAGAGTTTTATTTTGTCCAGGCCACGGGGGGCCCAAATACGTGTAAAAAAGTACGCGATGAATGTACGATTATTATTTTAAAGAGTTTTATTTTGTCCAGGCCACGGGGGCCCCAAATACGTGTAAAAAAGTACGCGATGAATGCACGATTATTATTTTAAAGAGTTTTATTTTGTCCAGGCCACGGGGGGCCCAAATACGTGTAAAAAAGTACGCGAGGAATGTACGATTATTATTTTAAAGAGTTTTATTTTGTCCAGGCCACGAGGGCCCCAAATACGTGTAAAAAAGTACGCGAGGAATGTAAGATTATTATTTTAAAGAGTTTTATTTTGTCCAGGCCAATCTAACAAATTTTGGTTTTATTTCACTAATAATAAAAGTTAGAATAAACATGAAAATTTAATTCTAAATAAATTTAATTTCGAAAAAAAACCATGAGCGTGCAAGAATGTAAAAATAATTTTAGAGTGTGGTGATTTTTTTTAATATTTTCTTTAATATTTATGAAGCTCTATGATAGTATGCAAATAATGACTAATAGAAAACTAAATTTTTATTAAGTCATTTTTGAACAGATTATGCGAATTAAAAAATCAAAATTAATTTAGAAGTTTGTTCAAAAATTAGCAAAGGAATGGATTGTAAGGACTGTTTGTAAAAACAAAATATCAAACTTAACATGTAGCTTATAAAGCTAATTAAAAATTAAAAAAAAATGTTTGATTTTCAAAACAAAGCAGTAATTGTACTTTTAAATTATTAATTTTGACTTATAATTATTTTTATTTTTATGGTTTTTTGTACTTATACATTTTAATTTTTTTTTAAATTTTTGTATACATACATTTTAAATAATTTCCTAATTTCAAACCATAAAATATGAATAAATCGAAGTAGATTTACTCATTTTCAATACAATTCATTACAAATCGTGGATATATATAACATTTAACACGTTGAAAAATTTCCAGTTTTTTTTTAATTAAATTAAAACCATTTGATTTTACTGATAGGGGGGCCCCATCAAAAAAATTTGCCACGGGCCCCGGATGGCCTAGTTACGCCACTGTTTGTGATATTTTGTCAAACCACCTTTCCTCTTTTAAGCCCAATTCACGGACGGTCTCTAAGCAGGTTGAATGTTATAAATGGTAGACAAGTAGACAGGTAGGTAGCTAGACAGTTAAACAAGTAAATAGGTAATCGCGTAAAAATATAGAAAAGGGGTCATCCAGACAGATAGACTAGAAGATTGACGAACTGATACACTGGTAAGCTGGTAAATAAGTAGATAGGTAGCCAGGTAAGCAGGTGGATACGTTAACAGATAAATAGAAAAATAAATGGATTAGTAGACAGGTAAACAGGTGTACAAGCAGACTGGCAGATAGACAAGCAGATAAATAGGTAAACAGGTGTACAGGCAGGCTGGCAGATAGGTGAATAGGTAGACGGAAATAAGCAGACAAGGAGACAGAAAATATAACTCACAACTGTTTTTTTGTTTTTGTTTTATATTATACTACTAGTATATTCTCCACTGAGTATCTATTAATATCCGATCATAATCACTTTCGCCAAATAAAAGAATTTAAAGCTGGCCACGCTAAACAACTTGAATATGATTTAATAACAATATTATATATATATATATATATATATTATATAATATATAATATAATAAGTTAAATTTTAAGTTAAAATATATACATATTCAACTGTTCACATGTATACTGCCCACATCTATATATATACCCCTGTTTATCAGTTTACCTGTCCATCAGTTTATCATCCCACTAGTTTACCTATCAACCATTTTACCTCTTTACTAGATTACTTGTCCATTAGTTTACCTGTCCACACTGTTGATCAGTGTGCTCAAAATCGCGGACAAAAAATTGTATCTATACAAAACACACACACATGCTGACATACATCCATGCCAAAAGGTTTAGAAGGTATGCCAATTTATAATTTTGAGAAGATCGGATAAATCATTACAGAAAAATATTTTATTGAAATTTGTTTCTTACCATAAAATCGTTATCATGGTAGGACCGGGTCGCAAGAGTTTCATTCATCAATACTTTTGTAGATACTGCAAATTCCTTAGTACTGGACATTGCGTGATATATGAGGTAACGATATCCGTCAGATTGTGGTGGTGTCAGTACTAAGCTGAAGACACCATCATTCCATTGAAATTTTAATCCAGCAATTTCATAATCACCAGCTAAGGGATCCAAATAGAATGAATTATGGCGCACACGCCAGGCTCGGTTTTGTTTGAGGCTGCAATGGAAAAGATTTTTTTTATATGGGTTAGAATTTTTTCACCTAATATCGAATAAATAATTAAAACTAAGGATTTGTACTTAATTGCTTAAACTTTTCATACTGAATTGTTTTAATTTACAATTATATTAACAAAAAGTAAGTAAAATGTTTCTAGTTGCGCAATTAAAACACATATAATCAAGAAATATAAAGCAGCTCAAACACCCATTTAAAAATGTGAAATATATGAGTAGATTGTATTATTTAAACATGTCTGCTTCGATGATAACTGTGACCACGTTTGCTACAGTAGACATTGGGTAAGTCTGTCCAGATGATGGTCGTAAATACTTTTTCAAGAATCAAGTACTTTTCAAGAAAAAAAAACTAACACAAAAATATTTTGAAGTAAAACTTCTTTAAGCGCGACTAGCGTGCAAATTCGTACAAATGCAACGGAAGTGCGTTACGGCAGTAAAATAAGATAAGAGTCAAGTGCCAATGATCCATTCGCTCTCGATGATATCATTTCCATCATTTCTATACGGGTCGATTGTGATTAGTCTGTCGTTGTATGCGTACCGATATCAACGTTGTATGCGTACAGGGCCTGTACTGTACTACAGGCATCAACGTTGTATGCGTACCGATAACAACAAGGAAACCGGCATAGATAAATAACCATTTTAGAGTTACATCGTAGTACAAATCTTGATTTAATGAAAAATGCCTGAATGAGAAGAATATTTTACCCTGTCCCCCGTAAATAATTATAATCAAAATAATATAACAGTTCTAAAATTTTAAGTGTTTGTCATAATCCTAACAACAAAGAATGAAAAAGTAATTACCCTTTTAAAATATCAAAATATGTATTTCATTTTTTACTAATTTTGAGAAGCAGAGAGCTCAAGCGTTTTGCCTCAACCAATATATCACTAGTATAGTTGGTAGTATTGGTAGTATTAAGTTTTAGTATTAAATTGGTAGTATCACATGGAAAATTTCAAAATACCTGTAAACTACTACAGCAAAAGTTGTCAAATCAGGCATATAAGCAAATGCTTCATCACATCTATTATTAATGAGATCAACGGTTATGCTAGCAATTGGAGCATTTGGAGGATTTACAGACTCTGGCAGCTCAAAACGATGAATGATCCGATCTGTTTTCAGATCAATTATCACTATGGCTGGTGGTTGCACCTGAGTTGATTCTCCTGAAATTACATTTATAAGTTAAGAAAATATTATTACACAAAATAAGTATATCGTATAGAATATTAAAATTAGCATTTTTCCATAAATCTGTATTCGACACTTGATCAATTTGAGAACCCCGCTTGTTCCAAAAGAGCATGACTTAGTTTTTCATTTACAATTTGGTGATCATGTATGTAATAAATAATTTTATAATTTAACTTTTAGTTTATTATTATGTTTAACTTCCCGTAGGCTAAGTTATCCAAAAATCAAAAATGAAAATTTTTGCTTATCTTTACGTTTCAAAGGTTTCTGAACATGTTGGTATACCTTAGAAAAATGGATGTGTGTATATGCATGTATGTATAGATACAATTTCTTGTGCACGTTTTCGGGCGCACGGATCAACCGGTTTGAATGGTTCAAAAAACATTCGATTCCTATTTGATAGGGAGATGTGCTGATCAGTTTTTTGGCAAAGGCAGGTTTAGCCGTTTCGGAGGTTCGAAAAGAAGAGTGCAAAAAATAGTATCGAGTTTTTGAAAGAATGGAGCATCCGAAATTTAAAAACATTCATTTCGTAAGGATGGGTTTTTCAAGTAGTAATTAGTTTTTGGCAAAGGCAAGTCTAGCCGTTTCAGACATACGGAGCTAAAAGTGTGAGAAATGCCAGTTTTGAGAGTACTTAGCATCCGATTTGAATGATTCAAAAAACTTTTTGCATGTGTTGACAAAACGATTGCTTTTCGGTAATGAACTTTTTTTTATTTAAAAAAAATGTCTTTTTTTTGAATATCAAAGGTAATTCGGATTTTAATTTTAATTCTAGCTAAAGTTCTAAAGCTCACTTATATACTTCAAATAAATAGTTTTAGCTTTGCAATTCAGTTTATATAATACTTAAAAATATTAGACAAATCTTCATTTTAAATCCGATTGATTAAGTTTTGCTTATTCATTTCTGATTTTTGTAAAATGTATAAGAGTCATGGTTAATTCATAAGTTTTTATATTTTGCCTATAAAATAGGAATAATGGAATTCATAGAGCGTTTATAATAATCTATTTAAAAACATTTAATATTTCTCGAATATTTCACTACGGTACAGGAAGTTCTAGCAATTTTACACCGCTAGTTTATTCAATGGTTTTTTTTTATTAAACAATGTCTTAAAATTTGTGTGAGTATTATTTCCTGGTTTGGTATGTGTTGATAATATTTAAATTTTTTATATCTCAAAGTAATTTTATAAACTTTATAAAGTATTTTTTAGTTTTTCTTAACATGCTGAATTGTAGTCCACTTACAATGTCGAAATATACATAAGAATAACTAGTGAATTGTTTATTGCTGTTTATACATAAAAATGTGTGTGAGTGTGCAAGTGAGCATGTGTCAATTCTAGCAAACCCGACCGACATAGTTTGAGCTGCGGAAAAACAATTTAGATGGCTATTTATTTTTCTAATCAATAATAAATGGTTAGGGTTATAATGAAAATGCTTGTAAGAACTTATATCTATGATAGACGTACAGTTATCACAAGTGTGAGACTAAACAGTTATGAAGAAAATCATTTAATTATCTTTGTAACCAATAAATTTTTCCTTCCTATAGGGTAAGTTATTGTAATCGTTTAGAAATCGAATAGAATATTTTTTGCATATCTTTACGTTTCAGATGTTTCTGAACATTTTGGCATACCTTAGAAAAAATTGATGTGTGTATGTGTGTCTGTGTGTGCGTATGTATGGATTCAACTTTTCGTTCACGTTTTCAGTAACACGGATCAACGATTTGAAATATTCAAAACGCAATCGGTTCCTATTGATAAAAAGACGTGCTGATTAGTTTTTGACAAAACTCGGTGATGAAGCAAAGAGTGCAGAAAACAGAAATTAAGTTTTTGAGAGAACAAGGCTTCAGAAATAAGGAGCTAAATGTGTAAAAAAATACACTACATTATATTTCGGTCTTTAACCTTATATCGCTGTTTCGGTTTAGCGCTCTTTTATTTTAACCCAGGTTTTGAAGAGGTACATGTGAAAGATGTCGAAGAAATAATTCAAGAAGCAGTGGCTAGTCTTTCTAATGAGGAGTTCTGTATTAACTGAACAAGAAGAAAGAATCTGAATTAACTGAACAAGGAGAAAACAACAATGTTGACAGCAGTGTCTGAATTGGTGAAGAAGAGCAAAAAGAACTTTCGATGACGTTTGTAAAAAGAGTTTGTCTACCATAACTGAAATAATGGACAATTCATTGAAAATGATCCGAATTTTGACAGGAGCTCAAGAGTAAGGCATGGTGTTAGAGATGCTCTACCCGTTTATGAACAACTTTTAAGAGAACAACGCAACAGGAAAAGGCAAACAACATTAGATGCTTTTGTCATAAAAAGGCAGTACACAAGTTTGTCTATCTGGAGGACTAACTAAATGTGACTGACCTAGAATTATATTTTTAAGAATATTTATTTTGTTACTTATATTTTGTTGTTATTTTTGCAAGAAAATATAATGTGGTATTAACTTGGGCTTTAAGAAATAATTGTTTGATTTTATTTTTATTAAAAAAAAACATACTTTTTAAATTTAATATACAACCAATTTTCTTAAGCGGGGTATTACTGTACATCATTATGAGTGAATTAAATGTATAATCAATATGAGTTGTGTATAATATATATTAAATGTATAATCAATGTAGAATCACTATGAGTGAGTTAATTGTAGAACAGCGTATAATAAAATGATGTGTGTATTTAAATGTATACATATATGTATATATTCATGTATATATTTATATTTATTCTATTTTTAAATATAATATATAATTTAGAATACCTGGAATTTCTAACAGTCCAGTATCAACCATCCACATCCTATCGCAAGAATCAATCCTTGTCCTGTACACAGAAACTAATTTATTTGAATTGCTGTTATTATACTGAAAATAAAAATCAACTTTTATTCTAAAACAACTGAAAAAGAGAGTAGTGATTGAATGTCATTTTAATATAACACAATATATGAGCAACTAGTTGGTATTGGTATTTTGCCTTGAGGCAAGTTACATGAACTTCCCGATATGTGTAAGTAATCGACTTAATCAATAAAATATAAATTAGTTTATGAATGATTGAAAGTATTTCGAGTGAATTTATCTTCTTATATATAAAAATGGATCGCAAAATGTGTTGGTAAGCGCATAACTCAACAACGCCTGGACCAATTTGGCCAATTCTTTTTTTAAAATGTTCGTTGAAGTCCAAGGATGGTTGTTACGGCGAGAAAAAAACGAATAATTGCCGGGAAAACCCTAAAAACAGCCCTTTTCTTCTTCAATCGAGTAGGCAACGCAAATTGTAAAAAAAATAATGATCTATGTCATGACATTTTGTGTAGTTTTTGATAATCTAATTTTGAATATATTTATATAAACATAGAAATATCTTTCTATTAATCAAGCTATATTGGCAGCCAAAAACATTGATGTAAATTAATTAAATTTCAAAATTCAAGAACAAATTACAGGCGAATCAGTTGATTCGGCAACTAACCAAGACGATCCACCGGAGTTTTTAAACACGCTGGATTTGCTAGGATTGTCACCTCACAATCTTCAATTAAAGGTTGGATCGGCAATTATAATATTGCGAAATATCGACCAACTATATTCAAAGGATAGTATAAAGAAGAAGATGTTCTCGCACCATGCATCCCAATGCGTTTCCAGTGCGTTTATGGTATCATTAAGTGTTTGTGGTATTAATTTAGAAAACCCATGTTTCTCACATGGAAAATTGTATGTTGTTTGTTCCCGTATTGGAAAAGCATCAGATTTGTTTGTCTATGCGCCAGGTAATCAAACAAAAAACATCGTTTATCACAAAGCACTGCAATGAAAATTGAACTGATTTTTGAATTATGATTTAAATTATTAAAATTACTTACTTTTAAATGCTTATAGTGTTTTATTTAATTATTTTTAATTCACACTGAATTATTACCAGGGTGACGGTTCTGTTCAGGATAATTTTTTGAAAAGAATAGAAAAAAGGTAGGCACAAAACACCGCCACATTACAATTTTTTTTTGACAAGACGAAGTCTGTCGGGCCGGCTAGTCTTATATATAAAAATAAATCGCAAAATGTGTTGGTAAGCACATAACTCAACAACGCCTGGACCAATTAGGCCAATTCTTTTTTTAAAATGTTCGTTGAAGTTCAAGGATGGTTCTTACGGCGAGAAAAAATCGATTAATTGCCGGGAAAACCCTAAAAATAGCCCTTTTTAGGCTTTTGTTTTTCAGATACAAACGTTTTCTAAATAAAACGTAGAATCACTTAACGATTCATATATCATTTTATTCGTAATTTTATTCTACATCTTTCGTCCGAACAAAGTTTTTTCGTATCTTTTACGGTTTGGATTGTAGAGGGCAATCTGTGTGAATATTCAATTGTTGAAATAGAAATTGAGGTTAGTTTCCAGTAACTATCCACACTATGTTTCTCTAAAAAAACATATGAAGTATAATACATCGTTAGAAAGGTCTCAAAATTCTTAGTTCTTTTCCCATATATGGGTTCAGGCGTTTTTAAGAAAACGTCTATCAAAGGTCTAATTTTGACAAATGCCACAAAAACGATACTAATTTTTGCAAACTTTGAAATGTTTTAAAAATTAAATGATTTGTCGTAGGGCCGTAATATTTTAGTATTGTCTACAAGACTATGGTATCTACCGTCGAAAAAAATCATAATAATCGTTGAATTTTTTTTTTTAAACTTTATTACAAGAAAACGGCCCGGCCGATCTTTACCAAAAACTAATCAGCACGATTCCCAACTAATTTCTATCAAACGGTTTTTGAATGTTCAAAATCGATTCGGAATTGAGGGCTAAAACATGAACGAAAAATAGTGGATTATTTACATATGTTGGAAAGTTTATGTAACTTGCAAAATGCCACTTATAACTAGTTTCCTTTATTGTTTTATCAATACATACCATGTAACATCCAAATAATATAATAATATTCTTAGAGTAAAAAAAAAGATTAACTCACCGCATTAGTTGCATAGTCGGGATATGGTCTCAACGGAGGATCAAAAATTCCTCTATTGCGATCACCATCTTGGGATAAGGAAAGATATGCAAGAGTTGCTGGTATACCATGTCTTCTTCTGGGAAATGTTACGAATAATTTATCTCTCCATCGATCCACTCCCATGGGCACATTGTTATAACGAATAAAATTTGTACCATCTTCACGAAGAACTTGATTCTTGTTAGGAAACACAAAATCATTACTTCCCAGCGTGTTGGCTACGGAGAAATACAGATAATGAATAATTATGTATTGCACAATTACTCATTCGAATTGTATTTAGGAAAATTTAAATGACATTTTTCTAACTAACCAATAACTTGGTGTAAATAGTTTTTTATTTCAGTCCGCATTTATTATCAAAATAATAAATTTACTGATAATTAACAAGTAAGCAATCAATTAAATAACAAACTAGTGGAACGCATGGCATCGCGCCTTAAGACAAATTGCTGGAACTTCCCGTACCAATCACTTCCCGTTCATCTTTGAAAAAAATTCACTTTGAAAAACTTAGATTTTTCAGAAACTATAAATTTTTGACAAAAATTTACTTTTTTAGAATTTTTTTTTATTTTGAATTATTTTGGAAATTGAACTTTTTTTTTAAAGCAATCGTACTGCTTTAACTGCACAGAGACAAAACATCGAAGCGCGTAAGCGCCGCGTCGCTGTCTAACTGATAAACATTGGTACGGAACTGATGGGAATGTAAACAAAATTAGTACTTATTGTTAAAATCTCTATAAAATATCTGATAACTTGATATGCATATGTCTAATGATTATTTTTGACCGCCAAATGGATTGTTTTTACTTTTTTCACTAGATCTCTGAAACTGCTAGATCTGCCTTAATGAAAATTTAATCAGTTCTTCATCTTGTTAATACAAGTAAAATGTGTTTTGAATTATTAAAATCTCCATTCTCTTAAAAACTAAGATACCGTTTTTGGCACTTTTTACTCGTAAAAACTAATCAGCACGTCTCCTTATCAACAGCAATCGAATTTTTTTTGAATAATTGAAATCGGTTGAGCCGTGTTCTCGAAAACTTCGGCAAAAATTTGTATCCGCGTACACACACACACGTACATCCATTTTTTCTAAGGTATGCCAAAATGTTCAGAATGTTTTTAAAGATATATAAAAATTTTCATTTTCGATTTTGTTGTGATTACTATATAACTTACCCTACGGGAAGTTAATTACCTTATGGAAAGTTTATTATTCAAATAATTTTAAAAATAAAAATCATTTTGCTGGCAGAGATAAAAATCACCGAACTACTTAGTTGCTGATTCTCTTATATCATGTAATCTTATTCAATGAAATAGAGTGATTCTATTAATTAACTTATTAACTTCCCGAAGGAGAAGTTTATGTTTTCATCAAAAAATCCGATTCGCTAATTTTATGTTTTCTCGACGTTTCAAGCCATTCTGAATCGAATGAGACCAAATTTGGAAAAAGTATGTGTGTGTGTGTGTGTGTGTGTGTGTGTATGTGAACAGATTCTTTGCCGTAAATCGACGTTTTCTCGAAAACGGCTGGGTCGATTTCAAAAATTTAAAAGCCATTCTATGTATCTCGACGAGAACTATTGTTTGTCAGTTTTGTGCGATCGGCCAAGCTGTTTCTTAATAAATGGCAGAAAAGTGAAAAATTTTTCGTCTACGTTTTAGCCCGCAATTCTGAATCGATTTTGAAAATTCAAAAACCGTTCGAAAGATATTGGTTGGGAATCGTGCTGATTAGTTTTTGGTAGAGATCGGCCGGACCGTTTTCTTGTAATAAAGTTTTAAAAAAAAAAATTTCGACGATTTTTATGATTATTTTTTTGACGATAGATACCATAGTCTTCTAGATCATACTAAAATATTACGGCCCTACGACAACTGGTTCAGCTTTAAAAATTCGTCAAAGTTTGCAAAAATCAGTATGGTCTTTTTGACATTTGTCAAAATTAGACTTTTGATCGACGTTTTCTCAAAAACGCCTGAACCGATTTTAGAAATTTAAAAGCCATTTGATGTATTTCGGTAAGGACTATCGTTTGTCAGTTTTGTGCAACGATCTGACAATCGATTTCTTTGTAATTCGAAAAAAAAGTGTTAAACTTTTCGTCCACATTTAAGCTCATCCTACCGAACCGATTTTAAAAAATCAAAAACCGTTCAAAAGATATTAGTTGGGAATGGTACTGCTGAATTTTAGGTGAAAATCTACCGAGCCGTTTTCTTGTAATTAACTGTTGAAAAAAAGTGTTAAATTTTCGTCGACATTTAAGCTCATCTTACCGAACCGATTTTAAAAAATCAAAAACTGTTCGAAAGATATTAGTTGGGAATGATACTGATTAATTTTAAGTGAAAATCTACCGAGCCGTTTTCTTGTAATTAACTGTTGAAAAAAAGTGTTAAATTTTCGTCGACATTTAAGCTCATCCTACCGAACCGATTTTAAAATATCAAAAATTGTTCGAAAGATATTAGTTGGGAATGATACTGATTAATTTTAGGTGAAAATCTACCGAGCCGTTTTCTTGTAATTAACTGTTGAAAAAAAGGTTAAATTTTCGTCGACATTTAAGCTCATCCTACCGAACCGATTTTAAAAAATCAAAAACTGTTCGAAAGATATTAGTTGGGAATGATACTGATTAATTTTAGGTAAAAATCTACCGAGCCGTTTTCTTGTAATTAACTGTTGAAAAAAAGTGTTAAATTTTCGTCGACATTTAAGCTCATCCTACCGAACCGATTTTAAAATATCAAAAACTGTTCGAAAGATATTAGTTGGGAATGATACTGATTAATTTTAGGTGAAAATCTACCGAGCCGTTTTCTTGTAATTAACTGTTGAAAAAAAAATTAAGCCGATTTTCATGGAACTTTTTTTGGCGATATACATCATGGTCTTATAGAACTTACTGTAATATTACGGCCTTACGACAAGTAGTTTAATTTTACAAATTCGTCAAAGTTTGATAAAATTATTATCGTTTTTTTAAAGTAGGATCGATGAAGTATATTATTTACACATTTTTTTTTGATTAAGTCGATTATTTACACATATCGGGAAGTTCATGTAGCTTGCCTCAAGGCTAAATACCAAACCAACTAGTTAATTTATACATTTACATTTTTATATTTTTGTATCAAGATTAAAGCTTATTCTTTTATTGCTACATTACTCTAAGCCCATAAAAATTATATTTATCTCACATAATTAAATAAGTGTATAAAGGTGTAAAGTGTATGTTTTTTTATTTATGATCAATACGAGTAGTTCCTGAAGATGGGGACAACACATATCCTGAAAACGTTACATCATGAATAAAAGAAGAGTATATGCGTGACATCATCTATACCCTACACTGTGATTAGTAAATAATTATTTAATTTAAATGCACATAAAAGTAAGGTTTTTATATTTTTAAAATATTACTCTTCTATCTTCTTCATCGATCAATCATACTAATAAAACCAATATTTGAAAAAATTATGAAGAATTTAAAAATGAAATATTATCTGAAGAAAAAAGGAGGCTTAGTTCAGAAATTTAACAATCATAATTAATATAATAACTATCGAGAAAAGCATAAATCTTTATATATATATATATATATATATATATATATATATATATATATATATATATTATATACAAATGCATTACTCTAATTAAAAACATAAAACTTATGTGTAAAATAGTCTGCAAAATGTCGAAGGTTAGTCACAAAGCCAGATTAAAGTTTTTTATCGCTAGGTTAAGGTTTATCATCACAGTATTATTTTTCCATAATATTTGATTATTGTTTATTATATAATTTATTTGGACTATTGAATAAGTAAAATTCATATCTAATCTTTAAACAAACGATATAAACATGTTACCAAAACTTTTGCATTTTGTTCCGAAATGTAATAATTTAGTATTTTAGAAAAAAAGTTTGCTAAACGAAATTAACACTAAACATATAATTTGTTAAATTAACAAGTTATAGTATTCGAAAATAATTTTTTTTATATATCTTTGCGTTTCAAAGGTTTCTGAACATTTTGGCATACATTATAAAAAATGAATGTGTTTGCGTGTGTGCGTATGTGTGTGCGATTAAAAATTTTAGTCTATGATTTCGAGAACACGAATCAATCGATTCGAATGATTTAAAAAACATTTGATTCTTCAATAAAGATACGAGGGTGATTAGATTTTCGCCAAGACAGGTCTAGCCGTTTCGAAGATACGGGGCAAAAAGTGCCAAAAATAGTATTTCAGTTTCAGAGAAAACGGTGCACCCAATTTGAACGATTCATAAAAATATTTTACTTGCAGTGATAAAATAAATTCATGATTTTAAAAATATTCAAAATAAATAAAAGAAATATTTTTTTTCAAAAAAGTCAACGTCTTCAAAAACTTCAAAATTCTCAAAAATCTATTTTTTCAAAGGTTTGAAAAAATGTAGTTTTCTTTAAAAAAAATACTTTTTGGTACGGGAAGTTCCAGCAATTTGCCTTAAGGCACGATGCCATACACCCCACTAGTTATTATTAATTTTATGTAGTTTTCATCGGTAGTCAAAAATTAACGAGCCCTATGAACTGTTACGCTGGCATCATAAACGGCGTGGCTTTTTTATACACGGCAACCCAAACGGTTTTCCAGCCAAATACGTATATTGCTATCTATATTTTCATTCAGAAACCGATGTCACTACTGCTTGACATTAGGCTGACCTAGGCCTGCATATACCTCAAAAATCTGTCCAATAGTAATACTTATCGTATTAATCGGTATTGATATTAGAGCTGCAATAAATTATTCGAAAGGTACTCAAAATGAACCTCAAAAATCTGTACAATAGTAATATTTATGGTATTAATCGGTGTTGATATTAGACTTGCAACAAATTATTCAAAAGATACTCAAAATAATAATAATAATAGGCTAAATCTCTTTGGAAGTCTGTTTCTTATTGTTAAAAATAAGCTGATTGATATTCATAAGAATCATTAATCTAGTTTGTCAGTTGACCTTGTATTTGTTGTTGCAATTTTAATAATAATATATAATAGCAATTATGAAACACTTTTAATAATAGGTAATGATAAATCTTGTTTAATTATATTATATAACATTAATACGAATTTGACAAGCAATAAAATATGTAACTATTAGCTCATTATGCAAAAATTTTAATTCATTAATGCAGTATAAGAGTTGGTTAACACAATCTATATGTAAGAAGAAAATAATCGTTCTTTTGAAGGTCTATTGTCTATTACTAACAATACGAACCTATTGGTGCTTTCTCAGTCCATTATTTTTTGAATAATTTACTTCGAAATAATTTCAAAAAAAAAAAAAAATTCATAAAAAAACTATCTCAAATCGCTATGTCAAAACATTTTCTAAAAAGTGGATTTCAAGATTACATTTGGTGACCGTCAAAATTTTCCAAATAGCATTTGATTACTTTGATAGCATTATTCATAATCATTTTAGACATATTGAGAACACGACATACTGCATAATTACTGAATCATGTCAATATACCAACAAAAACTTAATAATATGCCAATTATAGAGACGTTATTTCGTAATATTTAATTTTATCTCAAACAAACGCATAGAAAAGATTTTGAATGCTTTTTATATGAAATAAGTAATTAAGTAATACATAACTTCAAAGTAAACTAAACGAGGTATTCCATACCAATAATTTAAAAGTAACTTCAATTGCTTATATTATATAGGGGAGCTAGGAGCTCGTTGTAACAGGGGTTAGTAGAACAGACGTTTTTCAATAGGATCTTAATTGATATTAAAATATTGCTTCGTCTTCATTGAACATGCAAATTACCCCTCTCCCATTGATCATGTTGTTATAGCTACTGTCCCGCAGGCCGACGTAGTATATAGAAGTGTGCATTCGCGTCATTATTGGCAGTTAATAAAATTGTACTATCACAACATTTCGGTTTGATTAATTTTAAATTTTATATACCTATTTTATTTTGGCTCTTTATCAATCTTTGATAATGTATAAGAAAATTTGTTATTGCTAAATTATTTAAACGGTTATCTTGATTTATGTAAAAAAATAGGTAAAAAAGGCGAGGGTAAGCTATTATTACAGAAACTGGTGCTACCTATAAGGCACTTTGATACGAATTATAGATTTCAATGACAAACTAAAAATTGCATAAATAATGAGCAACAAGATATTTTCGCATTATTTCCGAGAAAAATTTATCATTCCAGAAGAAAACTAATATACAAAGAGATTGAGATGTAATGCAAATTTTATTTATTTTACGTTAAATCCATTTTCATATATGTGAAATATTCGTTTATTACCACTCAAATAAAAATTTAGATGAATGTTGTAACCTATAACTTCTATTGCCAACTTTTTCTTAAAATTAAATATTTGAGGTACTTTATATAGACATTCAGGTGACTATAAATGCATTACCTATGTCATGTGCTCATGGGATATTTTTTAGATAATATTATTCTGGTTCACCTTGCGTTCACTGCCTATGTTACTGGAATTTGCACAAATCAAAATTGAATATTTGGTGCTAGTGAATACATTTCATTAATTACTGAATATTTTGCTGTAATGGGCAAAATATATGTGTTAATGCATTTAATAACAAATACAGAAAATAATTGATAGTTTATTTAAGCAATTCTAAAATCTCAAATCGCTTCATGTGCTGGTAAAGCGTTTGGTACGTCGTCCAAAAATCGGAAATGAAAATTTCAGAGGCAGAAATTTTTGTTGTGTGTGTGTGCGTATGTGTGTATGTGTGAATACAATTTTTTGTCGACGATTTTGGGAGTACGGATCAATCGTTTTGAATCTTTGAAATGCAATCGCGTTCTATTGATAGGGAAACGTGCTGATAGGTTTTTGGCAAAAGGTGGTCCAGCTGTTTTGGAAATACGAAACAAAGAGCGCAGAAAATAGAAATCGAGTTTTTGAGAGATCAGAGCCTTCGATTTGAATGGTTCGAAAGACATTCAAATCGTAATGATGGAAAAAAATGGTCGGGTCCAGTCGGGTATAAACAGCTAATTGTGCAAAAATTGGTAGCTTTTGAGAGAACGAAGCGTCCGAATTGAATGATTCAAAAAACATTTTTTTGCTCTTGAAAAAATTATTGTTTTTGGGGAGAGCAAAAAATATTTTTTTAAATTCTAATTTCTTTTTTAATTTCTAAATTTTTTTATATCAAAAATAAATTCAAGAGTTCACATATAACTGAAATAAATAGTTTTAACTTTGAACTTCAGCTTTTTAATTCTTAGAAATATGAGATAAGGTCTTAATTTTTAACTCTGTTTGATTAATTTTTGTTTGTTTACTTTTAATGCAAACTTATATAAACGTCATCGTTCAATATATAAGCTCTTATATTTGTTTAAAAAATGCGAATAATAAAAGTATTTATAATAACACATTTAAAAACATTAATAATCTTCAAATATTTCATTACGTTACGGTAAGTTCCAGCAACTTGTCTTGAGGCACGATGCCACACCACTAGTTTTTTTTAAAATTCAAAGTTTGTACAGAATGTTATGAAGATTGAATTGTTCTTTTAGCTAATTTAGGAGTCCTTATTAAAGACATTAACGTGCTTATATAATTTGTTCTAGAAAATAACCTAAAAAATCTGATAAATTAATCGGACTTTTCAAATTTAACCTATTAATAATTATTGCCACAAAATTATTACTAACAGTTTATTCGATTTATAATATTATCTAAAATCTAAATAATTATATAAAAATATTTTTTTCAAAATTTCCGAAATATTCAATGTTTTTACATACCTATTAATAAAAATTCTCCATTAATTCTCAAAAGAGGCACAAGTAAAAGAATTTACTCGTATATAGATGAGAAGTTTCAGTAAAGCATAATGCTATACTTTAGTTACTGTAAACATTATTTATAAATTCCTTAAATATAAAGATATATTGCTCACTAAATTTTCCACGAAAAGAAGTACTGAACCCTTTGATCGCTTACACAACTTGAATTTACAAAAAAAGAGTTACTTACGAGTATCTGCTCTAAAATTCACTTGATTCCATGAATAAACCCTTTGTAGTTTTCCCAAATCACAATAAACATTTACAGCACACAAAAATAGAAATATGCAACAGCTCCATTTCCTAAAAACGTTTAAAGGGTTAGTAACTAACTAGTGCAGTATATGGTATATAATTTATTTGAAACGAATATTAAAGCATATAAGTTTTTGTAAACAATGATTCTAAGAAAAATTTAAAAAGTATCAAAATCGTTGAAAAAATGTAGTTTTTTTAGACGCCACGTTTAGGTTAATAAACTATTTATAAAGGAAATATAAAGTTGTACATAATATAACGCAGTAATTGTAAATATTTCTTTAAATAACAAACGGATGCCTACATTTTATATGATAATGTTTTAAACGAAGATATAAAACGTTACAGCACGAATCACAGATGTTTACGAACTAACGAGCGCGCACGCACAATTATCACTAGTGCTCCTATATTTTGCTGACGATTATTATTACAAGAACTAGTTTTATCTCTGAACGATTATATAAATTATCATTCTTGACATGTTCAATTTTATTTAAAAGGGATGTTTTTTGCATAAACAGGTTTGTAAGAGAAGATTCTTGAACGGTATTTGCTGCGTTCTGAAGGAATGCTGTGTTCAAAGAACTACTATTACTTCGTGAGAGTCAACTTTAATGATACATATTTGACTTTAGTAATTAATTGAAAATGCAAGTTTTATATAAACTAGAGTTAATATTAAATTAGTTGTAAGTGGAATTTTGCGTTGTGCCAAGTAGCATGAACTTTGCGATAAATGTAAATAATCGATTCGAACAATCAATTTTTTAGCATTATACCCTAAATTTTAACTTCAGATTCGTGTTCATAGGTGAAAACCACATTGAAAATCATATGCCGCGCACCAAATACGGACAACATTTTTTATTTTGCAAACTTATGTATTTTTTAACTTGCTGTAGAGTAAGTTATAGTATTCACAAAAAGTTCGAAAACGAAAATTTCTATATATCTTTACGTTTCAGAGGTTTCTGATCATTATGTGTCTGATTTAAATAATTCTAGATCAACTATGCATAGCGATTGCTCAAAAAATGTTCAAAAAAAAATCAAAATACGAAGAAAATGTTTTCAAAAATTTCTAAATTTCTCAAAATCTACTTTTTTCAAAGTTTTGCAAAGCTTTTATTATTAATTTAGTTTTCGGTACGGAAAGTTCCAGAAAATTGCTTTAAGGCACGATGCCATGCACCACTATTTTTATTTATGTATGATCTACGTTTCTATATGCCTATCTGACTACCAATCTGCCTGCCTACCTATTTACCTATATACCTATCTACCTGTTCACATATCTACCTGTTCACCTATCTACATGTTCATCTATCTACCTGTTTACCTATCAGCCTGTTCGCCTATCTACCTCTTCACCTGTCTACCTAACTACTAATTACGTATTTTGGTATACTAGTCTACCTGTCTACTAGCCCGCATATCTACTTTTCTACTGTTTACTTTTCCACCAGTTTACCTACTGCCTACTTATTTGCTAGTCTACCTGTCCCTGTCTCTATCCATCTGCAAGTTTATCTATCTATATCTATCTGTCTATCATTCTATCAGTTTTCCTGTCTAACTTTTCTTTTCTACTTTTCTATCTCTTTGCCTCTCTACCTGTATGCTAGTCTATCTGTCTACTAATTTACCAGTAATTCTTATTGTATATGAATCAATAATTAAGATTTTTAAAGACCGTATAGTATTTGACTAACAAATGTAAATGCAAACCTAATGCTTTTCAAATCATTCTAATTGGATGCTCCGTTCTCTCAAAAGCGTCTATTTTTTCTCTCTATCTCCGAAACAGCTTGATCTGCCTTTGCAAAAAATTAATCAAAAAGAACTAAATATTTTTAGCCCTCATCAAATACTATATTTGACTACAGACTTTAATTCTGAACATTAGTTAAGTCGGCCCGAAGTGGAGTGTTTTGATGATATACAAATATTTGACGAAAATGGTCATAGTAATCTTGAGGTCAACGATAAACAATGGTTTATAATTTTTTTTGTTCAATGTTACTATTTTGTTTAAATATAATGTATAAGAATAAACCATTATTATAATGATTTTAACTTCAAGAAAAAGACCATAATTGAAAATGTATGAAAAATGGGGTAGTTTTCTTTCAAATTGACATTGCTTAAAACTGACACAAAAATGAAATAAATCATTTCCTCTCCTTGTTAAGAAGGGATACGAGAAAGAAAATATCGGTAAACACTAACTAAATTAGTACTGATTAGAAAAAATAGTATTTTGAAAATCTAAAAATTTACATTTTTTTTAAAAAATCATCAAATTTCAAAAATTCAACTTTATGAAGGGATGAATTTAAGAAATTGCAGATCGAGTTGAAAAATCCAAAAGATATAATTTTCTCATGATATGTTGGGAATCACTTTTCACAAGATGTTCATCATTGAAAAACTTGTTGTGCCACTTTGTCCGAATTCGGTTCTACTACATAAACAAAAAGAAATATTTTTAACTTTGCAAAGGCGTAAGAGCCACAAAATCTAACTTGGTCATTTTATGTTTTCTAGACGTTTCACGTTATTCTGAATCGCGTGAAACCAGATTTTGAAATATGTTTTTTATGTAGGGAAAAAATGCCTTCATGCATGGCATACTTGAATGCTTCGCCTAGATATGTTGTTAGTCAATAATAATAATACTAACTAAAATATCTGCCTTGCTCTTTCCTTGCTTTATGAGAAAAGGATCTAAAATATTATATTTGGCTCTTTTAATTGGTGTCATTCACTTTTCCACCAAACGCACGTATATAAAAACTTCTCTTGCAAATATGGTGGTGGTGTTGCATACGGTCTCCGATGTCAGCATTACTTCCATCAAAGAATTTGGTGTGATCCCTATATTCAATGCTGCCTTTGTATCGTTCATTCCTCATTAAAATGTGGTCACACAAAGATGCTTTGCATCTTCAATTTTTCCTGAACATGACGGACGGGCACTCAAGCGAGTTGTCGTGCTTGAAGCGTGCAGGCGTTTGATAGTATGCTGGAAAACGTCCGTGCTCTGAAAACTTCTGTGAAAGATAATAGTTATTCAATTCTAAAACTTTGTATGGTAACGAACATCCTAAAATATTATATGTCTATGACAAGTATTAGTATTGGCCTTCTTGAATTGTTTTAATCAACAACGGGAGGCGGTAGTCCGGATGGTGCGGCTATCCGGGCTATTTAGGTAAATTATAAAATATTAGTAGTTATTAGTAAATTAGTTAAAGTTATTAGATTAATCATAAAAATCGAATTTTGATTTGAATAATGGTCTCTCAAGACAAGACATTATCAATTAAATTGAAGTATTTTGCATCTCGTCAGAGCAAAATGCCACTTTAACGCAGTCTAGCAGATAAACATCATGAATCTTGGGAAAGAACCCATAAAGAATGGTGATAAATATAATACTTATTATTCAAATTTTTATAAAATATCCGATAATTTGATTTTCATATGCTCAATGATACTTTTTGATGACAAAATTGCGTTTTTTTAAGCTTTTTGTTCTAGAATTTTGAAACCGCTTGAGCTGTTTTCTCAAAAATTTAGTCAATTCTCTATTCCCATAATGCAAGTAAAATGTTTTTCGAATCATTCAAATCGGCCGCTCTGTTCTCTCAAAAACTGAATTAGCATTTTTGGGAAATTTTTCCATGTATCTTCGAAACGGCTGGACATGCCTTTGCAAAAAAAATTATCATCACGTCTCTCCATCAATAGGAATCAAATGCTTTTTGAACAATTCAAATCGGATAATCCGTGTTTCCGAAATCGACGACCAAAAATTGTATTCGCACATACACACACAAGCTCGTACGCCCACACACATGCATTCGTCTTTTCTAAAGTATGCGCAAATGTTCAGGAGGTCTTGAAACGTAAAAATATATAATAATATTCGTGAATTTTATACGATTACTAGGGAGAGCGGACTTACCCACAGAAAGTTAAAAATCTGAAACGAATGTTTTCAAACAATTTAACTATTTTCAATCATAAATTGCTTATAGAATATTTCTTTTATCACCTTCTTTGCCCTTTCTAATTATGGGTGCGGATTGATAGTACTCCGTTACAGTTCTGCAAAATTGAAAATGTCTGATCAATACAATTGGATAAAGCATTCTTCTGTTCCAAACAGAAATTCTGTGAAATTGATCTGTTATGTTAGTCCAAAATGAGACCTGTTATGTTTAAGTATTTATTGAGGAATGAATATCAATTAGAGATTAGGCTTGCAGTAGACAATAGTAATTTCAAAAAATATCTATCTATAATTATCATATATTCGTTAACAAAACATGTTTATGCTGTTATTTAAGGCAAATATAAATAATATATACCTTATGTTCTGCGTGTCCCAAATATAGTACCAATACCAAATTACAGCCAAATATGTATGTCAGTGAACAGTAGCATCATTTAAAACCTAAATGCTGCAGATTCAAAAATTCCTATGTTGAAGTAGAAATTTAAATGATTTTTAATTAATTTTATTTATAAAATTGTTCTTATATGTACAATTGGTATTATTTTTATTATATTCTTAAAATTACACAATATGCATGCAGTAAACAGATATTGTAATATTTGAGGATTCTTGAAAATTAATATTTGATTTCATGTACAGAAATTACGCACAGCGATAAGATTACACTTTATAAAAACTATTGTTTTTACATACTATTATAGAGTATTTTTTAGTAATTTTAAAAATAGGAATGATATGAATGTATTATGAAATGCTTATCTTAGATATATGAATGTACATAGATTTGTTGTTGTTGGTTATTGATTCCATAATTATATAGAGTGTTTATTGAGAATACTCTTTTATTAAATATTTAGCGATGGTATTTAATTGGATGTTATTCGTTCCTTCGTATATTGATCCTATTTTAGCGTCTCTATAGAATTTTTCTTGAGGAAAATCTCTTGTGAAACCAACACCTCCCATCCAGTCAATGCATTGTCGGCAAACTTGGCTAGCCAGTTCTAATTTATAAGAAATTTTTATTAAGCTTGAGAGTGATTTTATGAAACTATATTTAGGGGCGTTGTTATGACAACGCTATGTCTTCGTGGAAATTAGTAGTAAAATCTGTAAAAATGCTATGTTTTTACTGGGCAGTCAAGTGATTTAGATATAAAACCTAACCAAAAACCGATAAACGTTAAAAAACAATGTTATCATAATTGCATCTTTCTGATATGACATTGATAACACAAGCGTGAAGTTAGGTTTTATCTGTAAAACACCTGCCCGCACAGCAAATACATAGCATTTTGACAGTTTTGACTACCCATTTATATACCGATACAAAAGTGCCGTGACATAAGTTGAGATAATTATGTATCATATTTATACTTTCAAATTCTTTTTAGTTCTCATACATTAATTATGGTAATAATAAAATAAATATAAAATAAACTTTTTTAAAACCTTATATTCCTAGATATATATAGATTTCAAACCTGATGCAAAGTATTTGGCCATTGCTGCTTCTTTAACAAAGCTTTCGCCACTTTCTACCAAACGAGCAGCATTATAGACCAATAACCGTGCAGCTTCAATTTGTGTGGCTGCTAAGGCAATTTGGTGCTGCATTGCCTTTAATAAAATAATTCAAACACATGTTAATAAATTAGTGCTTAATAAATTAGATTAGTGTAAATGTAGATTATATTTCAAAATTAAATCAGATTTACTTGAAATTCGAATATATTTCTGCCGAATTGTTTACGTTCGAGGGTGTATGGAATGGTAGCATCTAAGCATCCTTGTGCTGTTCCAATCATTTGAGCGCCGATTCCAATTCTACCTTCGTTTAAAAATCCAGCGGCATATTTGTAACCATGACCGTATGTTCCTATAAAAATGAATAATAAAATAATTCAATTTTCTTCGATTATTAATTCATTGTTTTTTCATTATATTCTGTGAAACTTCATATGAAAAATTATTTTATTATTTTCTTTATTTTATTATATATAAAAGTCTTATATATAAAAATGGAGCTCGATATTATGTTAGGTATGCTAAAACTCGAAAACGGCTGAACCGATTTGGCCAGTTTTAGTTTTAAAATATTCGTGGTAATCCTGATATTGTGGAAAAGGTGGGAAATTTATTTAAAACCACGTGAAAACTTCATATTTTTAATTTAAATTTTTTTATAAAACGTATTTTAAAATGAATCAATGGCCGGTGGCACATATGTGAAATGGTTTTGACAGATTCTATTAAATTTAATATGATGTTTTAGATAAATATTACTTATTTGTAGCAAGTAGTATTATTTATACATAAAAACATTATTGAGCTGGTCTTGCAAGTGCTATTAGAACTTCAAAATATCAACCTTTTTGATATGTTAATATGAAAATACACTTTTGGCTTTATAGCATTCTTTTTTTGCCAATCATGTTTTCTTCAAACACTATGCTCCGAATGAACTCATTTTTATAATTTTATACATATTTGTATTTATAAAACATTATCTATATTATATTATTATATTATTTATGTTATTTAAATTAATTTCCTAAATTTGGAATCGATCAGCCGCGATATTTTGACTAATCATTTATTTCCAGTTGTAACAGACAACAATTTAAATAAGAAGATTTATTGATAACACAAATAATAACTTTGGAACATATATAGGATATATAAAATTAGCAAATCTAATTTTTCTGGCGAAAACAAACCTCCCTCAAAAAGTTTGTAACGAAGAAAATTAATTTGTTTTATTTTACAATAATTATTATACGTGTATTTTTTCTCCTTCTTTCTTTCAAAATCCTCTCTCTTACAGTTTAGTACAAAAACTATATAAGAATTAAAAGCGCCTTGTCAAAATCTAGATAAAATTCAATTCGCAATTCGATTTATGTCAATATAAGGTACACAACTGTAAGTGCACTTTTTCATTTAAAAATATGTTTCGTTTTAAAGCGATAAGTGAATTTGCAAAATTCTCACGTATATAGCAAAACCTGTAAAAACCAACATTATATGAAAGAAAAATATACTGACAATCTGTATCGAAATTCGTCGTCTGCAAATAAGAAGATTTCTATCGATAAGAGTTCTGAGTGGGTGTACTATACTGTCAACATATTTATTTAATTTGTGTCATAATTATTTAGAATTGTTCTAATTCGCTGATAATAAAATTCAAGGTAAACAGACTTATTTCTGTTATGAAATATTCCCGTGTAAGCCAACTCTCATCTATTATTAGATTTATATTTAGAAAGTTTTGCATATTCAGTAAAGTCACAAACTTTCTGAAACGGGAAACAAATAATTTGTATTGCTTAATGAAAATCTATATAATGCTATTTCTCAAACTCATATAATATGTATTAAAAAGTAAATGAAAGCTTTAGGTGGAACAGTGAGTTTTGTGAGGTTTAGTTTTAAGTAAGGTGACCTTATTTTTACAGGTCAAAAACGAAACGGCAACTTATAGTTAATCTAATCCAGGGGCATAGGCTAATTAAGTTAAGTCTCATTTAAATTAACAAAAACTATTTATGAAAATTGTGTTTTTTTAAATCAATCAAACCAAGATAATCTGGAACAAAAGATCTGAATGCGCGACAAATATAGCTGTTAGAAAAATCCGGGACACAAGGTAGAAATCCGGGACTGTCCCGGCCAAAACTGGACGAATGGACACCTAATTTTCAAAATTTTTCAATTATGGACAAAATTCCTAAATTTGTAATATTATTAGCTATTTTACTCGCTGAATCTAAAGACCTCGGTTGCAAAAAATTACGAAATTTTTCAACTTAACTGCCTTAATTTTAATAGCAAGAACGATTTGATAATTTTCTATGTAATTATATGTTTATTATTACCTAAAATATTTTCTTCTGGTACTCTAACATCTTCAAAAGTTAACATGCATGTTCCAGAAGCACGAATTCCTAGTTTTTCTTCTTTTTTCTGTACAGTGAAGCCTGGCATCGATCGCTCTAAAATAAAGCATGTAATACCCCTGTATCCCTATAAAAAATTATCTGTTCATCTATTACACTTTAGAGCTGATAATTTAATAATGCTAACCTGAGATGGGTCTGCATTCGCCATAACTAGGAAAATTTCTGCAATATCTGAATTTGAAATCCACATTTTAGATCCATTAATAATATAATCACTTCCATCTTTCTTGGCAGTCGTTTTTAATGAAAATGCATCGGATCCAGATGAGGGTTCCGTTAAACAAAAACTGCCAACCTGAAGAAACAAAAATATCTAACTATTGTTTTTTGATGGAAAAATTTTAGATATGAAAGAAACACTGGTTAGCTAAGTCCTAAAATTTAAATTTCTCAAGCAACATAACGTTTGAAACAAAAATTATTTAATTACGTTGAACAATTAATATTTAATAAATATTATTTATAGACGTAAATATGAAATGCTGATAAACAAAAAAAGTAATCATCGATTTTTAGTCATTACAAATAAATTTGCATTAACAATTTTCTAAAAAGATGCTGATTTGAATTTAAAGACATTTTGTCAACAAATATTTAATTATTTATTTTCCCCCAAAATTTTTCAAATATTGTTATATCAAATTTCATATAAATCAGGCAGAACAAGCAATCATTGACAATAATTTATTAACCATATATAGTCATTCCTATGAATTAAATACTTACTGTATTTTGTGCTAATCGTGTAAGATATTTTTCCTTCTGTTCTTTATTCCCCAGTTTAACTATCAGTGAATTGATCAAGGTGTTCTGCAAATCTACCAATATACATACAGACGGATCAACTTTTGCCAATTCCTCCACTGTTAATATAGTTGTCATAAAATTACATCCGGATCCACCGTATTCATTATCAATTTCTATTCCCATCAACTGTAAAGTTGAAAATATATGAGATCAAATCAATCATTTTGCCTATATTTGTTTAAAATAAAATAAATACTTGTAAATCGAAATTCGTAATCATCTCTTCTTAACAATTAGTGATTAGTTTATAAATTTGGAGAAGCATATGTTATCAAAGGTAGTCACGCGAACTAATATAAACATAGAAAAATAAACATAGCATGCGGAGGATTTAACTCTCCAATTGCAATAGTTTGAATGGGTTTAAATAAATTGATCCTTTCTAACTGAATATTGTTTCATATAATAATACCTATATCTTCTCATAAACGGTCACTTTGAATAAAACTTTATGAATGATATACAAGAGAAAACGTTAACTATAGACATATGCATATGATTCGCAAAGTTTGATATTTAATTATAGTTGCTAGAAAATTGGAGTTCAGTCTAGTAATTAATCTATAGCATTAATAAAAGTTGGAGTTCGGTCTAGTCTGCTTGGTTTAAGAAATAAACCCTAAATCTTAGTATAAAATATTTAAAAACGCTAAAAACCATCTATAAGTACTAAATAACCAAGTTGCATTTATGACGTCTGCAATAAGGTTAATATTCTCAAATGCAATACTTGCATGTTGATGCAATACGCAATGAATATTAATTTATTCAGTGAAAGTAACTAAGCGTAAATACAGTACATACAAATACTATACAATTATACTCGTGGTATATTGAAGTGGCTTAAAGTAAATTGTAGAATCTTTCCGACGAATGAAGATATTTTTTTAGATTATTATAGGAATATTCTTGGAACGTTTCTATAAAGATCAAAGAAATTATAATATTTGAAATATCTCAAATAATTTCGATAGGATTTAAAAAAAACATGTGCATGTGCAAAAATTAACTGCATCCTTATACCTAAAATTTAGATTTTTCTTTTCTTTTTCTTCAGACTGATCTTGGAAATTTGATCTCCCAAAAATAAATTTGAATATTTGCTTAGCAATATATAATATGATTTTCAGTTATATTTTCTATTATTTATGTATATATACATAAATAATAGAAAATATAACTGAAAATAAGCACTCGTTATGTTTCAAACAAACGAGGATCATTGCACGATGTGACTAGGGTAACACTGACTACCAAATTACCCCTGACTAATTGTAATAATAAACTCCTTTTAAATGTAAGTGCACATAATTACAACTGCAGTTATACAATATTTAAAAGTATGTTTAAATTCTTACCCCATTTTCGAATAACATATCCACTACTGATGGGTCAATTTTTTCTTCTATATCCATTTTCTTAACTAGTGGTAGAATTTGTTCTTTAGCTAATTTGGCAACTGTAAATAATTTTAAAATACATTAACACTTAGATTTTAAATATTAAAATAAATATTTAAAGCTTGAATGCATTATACTGCACTCGTTTAAAATACTTATCGAGCAAAAATCTAATTTCCTATATTATTAGCTTTGTTTATTATTTTGTGGTTCTATTAGCTTTGCCCTCACATGGCCCCAAATTAGATTTTAAGTCCGGTTTCGACCAGAACAAATATTAAATGATTTGATTTAGATCGAAAATCGTAAAAGGCCGAAACTTTTCCAGATTTAAGAAGCACCGTGCAACAAAAAAGTGGCGACTGGTTATATCCATATTTTTTGAAGTTATAGCTGAGACCACAGGAGATGTTCAACGTACTATTGACACATTTAAAGATTCTGTATATGATGATTAGAAGGATAAGCTTTTAGATATGAAGCTAATATTTATTTATACAAAATATTTATGATATACAAGTTTCAAGTCAACTTTACTTAAAAATATAAAATTAATAAAATAATAGGGCATTCGAAAGTGTAACGTAGTTTCGAAGAGTTGAAGTAAGCTGAAGATCATTTTATGGAGTGATGGTGATGCATCTATCCACAATTTGGAAGAGTAAATTAAATGTATGCAGTACTATACGAAATTATATGAACTCAACCATCAATTCAACTTTAAGCGTTATCAAAATTAACAAAAAAATAAAGTTAATTTTTTCGCCAAAGCTTCAAGTAGAATTAATTTAAGGTTCGAATAATAAATATATCAAAGTAAACAGTTAAACATATACCTAATTATCTAGTTTATAGGAATCTACATGCAGACAAAGGGCTCTACTGATATACAATATAAATATATTGAACTATTATTCTCCTTTTAAACAAACAAATTTAGCAAACAAAATCCAAATTTACCAATTTAAATAACTGACAATTATACGAAAATATAATTAATAAAATTCCTGCGTATTTGCACAATTTAACCATTATAATCATTGTTACCGTTGATAACATCCAAACTAAATAAACAAACACTTGTCTGATTATTTATATAAAATTAGTTGGTTTGGTATTTAGCCTTGAGGCAAGTTACGTGAACTTACCGATATGTTTAAATAATCGACTTAATAAGTATTCCGGGTGGATTTATTACACATAATTGAAAATGAACGAACACTTTGACTTGACATAATTGAAAACGAACGAACATTTTCAAAAATCAATAATTTTTACAATTGAACCAGTTTCCAGGACATTAATGGTTTATTATGTTCAAGACCAAGTGCTCTATCATTATACCAAGTAATAAGTATAATTTTAATTTTAACAAATGTCAAAAGAACTACTCATTTTCTCAAACTTTGATGACTTTTTAAAATGAAACTATTTGTCGTAAGGCCGTAATATTTCAGTAAGTTCTATAAGACCATGGTATATACGCTAAAAAAATTCCATAAAAATCGGTTTAAATTTTTTTTCAACAGTTAATTACAAGAAAACGGCTCGGTAGATTTTCACCTAAAACTAATCAGTATCATTCCCAACTAATATCTATCGAACAGTTTTTGGTTTTTTAAAATCGATTCGGTAGAATGAGCTTAAATGCGGACGAAAAGTTTAACACTTTTTTTCAAATTACAAAGAAACGGCTTGGCAGATCGTCGCACAAAACTGACAAACAACAGTCCTCACCGAAATACATCAAATGGCTTTTAAATTTCTGAAATCGGTTCAGGCGTTTTTGAGAAAACGTCGATCAAAGCAAAAAAAACTACTATACTGTATGTTTAATTGCAACTCAAAGGTTTAATACGCACTGGAATACAGGTTTACTATACATATAAATAATATAATAATAATATGATTGTAATAGAGATAATATTTTAAATAGTTGAAAGGTAAAATAATTGCTAGTCTAAAGAAACAAAATATGCCAAAACAAATTGTCCTATCACAAACTACTTTTTGGATTGAAAGACTATTAAGTTCTGATTGCTATTTAGTGGTGGTCATTTTTTGCGTTTTTAGTATTAGGATCTTCTCGCGCAGCTTGATTTTTATAGATATCCTATTGATTTTGTTGTTCGTTTTTCGAACAGCAATCAGAACATACTAGTCCTATGATACTTCCTAATTGCTTTTTTTTAGAATACTAGTCAACATGATTTTGAGTTTAAATTAAATGTCAAAGAACATATTGAAATTTATATTTTCAAATATGAACCAATATCAATACTGTTTTTTATCAGGTTGGTGTCGAAACTTAAACTTTCTGGTTGACGGAGACGATATTCTTGATACTTTTATACTTTTTATGCTTGATATTTATGCAACAAATTATCTTTTCCTCAAATGAAACAAGAAATAATCTAAATATATCAGTTCATGTAAAAACTACAATACTGCTCCTTTGAGAATAATGAAATAATATCGATATAAACTAAATCCACAAATATAAAACGTTATCTTTTGCATTGACCTTATTATTTGCTGATCACATTTTTAATGTTTTCGAAACTGCATGACTATTCGCTGATTTTACGTCAGATAAAAATAATTACGTATTTGCAGTTCAAATAATAAACAATATGCTCGACCGTTTGTAAGAAAAAAATATCGTTTATTGAAAATAACAATCAGGCAGTCTATTTATAGATAAACAAATTTAGATATGAATATTATTTTAAATCAGTGATATTTGGATAACTGTAGGTATATGAGATGTATAATATTAATATGAAACTGGTGGTGTATGGCATCGTACCTTAAGGCAAATTGCTGGAACATTCCGTACCGTAATGAAATGTTCGAGGAATACTTCAAATAGATTATTATAAATAGTGTAACATTTGTCTAATATTTATTTATAAGAATTATATAAACTGAATTACAGAGTGAAAGTTATTTATTTAACGAAGTATATAAGTGAGCTTTAGAACTGTAGTCAGAATTAAAATTGAAATCTCAATTATTTTCAAATATACAAAAAAAAAATTGACAATTTTTTTCCCGGAAGCCATTGTTTTGTCAACACAAGCAGAAAGTTTTTTGAATCATTCAATTCGGATGCTTATTTAACTCAAAACTGCCATTTTTTGTATATTAATAACCATTTCTTCCAATCATTACTAATTGAATGTTGTTTAGATCATTTAAATGGGATGCTTCGTTCTCTCAAAAAATCAGATTTTCTGCACTTTGTGCTCTTTATCCCCGTAACGGCTGGACCTGCCTTTGTCAAAAACTAATCAGCACATCTCTCTATCAATGGGAATCGAATGTTTCTTGAACCATTCAAATCGGTTGATCCGTGCGCCCGAAAACGTGAACGAAAAAATGCAGACATACAAAACACACACACACATCCATTTTTTCTGAGGTATGCCAAAATGTTCAGAAACCTTCAAAACGTCGAGAAATGTAAAAATTTTCAATTTCGATTAAACGGATCGTCCATTACAATAATATACCCTACGGTAAGTTATTAATATGAACATATCTGAAACATCAAGTACTAATTTATATTACTATTTTTTTTTTAAATTAATCGCATCTTCCAAGTTAATCTCGATTATGGAATTAATTAGTATGTGTTTAAACATTACTAATTAAAAGAATACTATAAAACTAAATTTGATTTTAGGAAGTTATAATCAATTATATATTTCACTGTTAATAAATGTTCTGAAAGTTGTGTTTTGTGTTAAGTTATTATCTCAATTGCTAAAGGCAGTCTTAACACTAATCAGCACACATCTCCTCATCAATAACAATTGAGTATTTTTGGAATCATTCAAATCGATTCATGCTCTTAAAACCGTGGACGAAAAATGGAATCCAAACATGCATACACACACATCCATTTTTCTTAGGTATGCCAAAATGTTCAGAAACCTTTGAAACGTAAAGATATGCAAAAATTTTCATTTTTTCATTTTCATTTTCATTTTCAATTTTTGTGCGATTACTATAAATTAATAGTTATATAATAATATACTCATCATTGCCTAATAGTTTATATGCCAGGATGTCATTACACAATTAAATATAAATGAATCAGATGATACTACCAAAGTTTCATGCTAAATTTAAAATATTCCACGATTATATTTTAAATGAATATGAAAAAAAATTGAATCTATTGCTTATTTGAAAAATCATTGGAAATATTGCAATATAAATTATTTTATTATAACTTTCAAAATAACTTCACTTATTAATTTAACTCTTTCGACTCAGATGCCGCCCCTGCGACGGCAAAATTCATATAAATCTCGCAATTCGCGGGTGGAAAGGGTTAAAAATAGTTCTATCTAAAGCGAAGTAATTAAACACACGTATATTTGCGATATAGATATAATAAAATATAATCACCTGTTTCTTTCATCATAAGCTCATCTTCTGATAAAAATGTGAGTGGTGCAGGCTGCTCACATGTTTTTTGATAAACTTTGGACGTCGATGAGAATTGCCGAATAACATTTCTCTGGGCCTGCGAATAAAAGAAATGTTAAGATGACTTATTATAATTCATTTAAATAGAATCATTGCAATTTTACGTAATCTTAGAACTGCATTTTATTGACACAGCTTAAACAATTCAACTTTGAACTATAAATTGAAGCACACAAATTATATGTTGATATAAAAATGTTAATTTTTTTTCTCGAAAGTTTTATCCAACCTTCTTACGATTGCAGGTTGAAGAATGGTGGGATTATTTATTTCAATTTCAGAACACATAGAAATAATCTTAATTTTTTTAAGAGTAAATTTCCGAAACTCGAGCGTTACCAAGTTTTATCGAACGGTTTTAAATTTTTTTAAAAAGGTTCAGCCGTTTTTGAAAAAAACGTTGACTTCTAGGGTTAATTTTAACAAACGCAAAAATGCGGATTATTTTTTCAAACTTTGTTTAAATTAAACGACTTGTGAAGCAATAACATTTTAGTATGATATTGTACAATAGTTTAGTATAATTCATAAAAAATTGTCAAAAAAGTGCATTATCATGTCAGTGTTATAGAGTTATATGTAAATTTATTGCTGTTTATTATTAATTAAAAAAATAGTAGTCATGGCCTCGTGCTTTGAGACAAATTGCTGGTACTTCCCGTATTGTAATGAAATATTCGAAAAATTTTAAATATTTTCAGACTGAATTAAAATTGAAAGCCAAAAAAACTTTAGATATTTAAATTTTTTTTTAATTTTGAAATAATTTTTTTTTGCCATCCCCAAAAACATTTTTCACGCTGTCAACACAAGCAGAATATTTAACGCTCTTAATAACCGCTATTTTTTGCACTTTTTGCTCCGTATCTCCAAAATGGCCAAAACTGCCTTTGAAAAAACTAATCAGCACGACTTCCCGTCAATACGAACCGAATATTTTTTGAATCATTCTAATCGGATGTCCGCTTCTCGCAAAAACCAAGTTTCCATTTTCTGCACTATTTGCTCCATATCTCCTAAACGGCTAAACCTGTCATTGCCGAAAACTAATCAGCACATGTCCCTATCAAAAGAAATCGAATGTACTTTGAATCTTTAAAATCAAATGATGTGTTCTCTCAAAAACTACCATTTTCTGCACATTTAGGTACGTAACTCCGAAACCGCTAAACCTGTCTTTGTCAAAAACTAATCAGCACATACCGCCATCAGTGGTAATCGAGTTTTTTTTATCAAATTGGTTGATCCGTGCGCTCGAAATCGCAGACGAAAAATTGTATCCATACATACATATAAATACATACACAATCACTTTTTCTTAAAATATGCCAAAACGTTCAAAATTCCTTGAAAAGCTAAGATACACAAAATTTTCATTTTAGATTTGTGGACAATTACTACAACTTACCCCAACGTAAGTTAATCATCTTTACCAAAAACTAATAAGCACTGTTTCCAACCAAAATCTTTCGAACGGGTTTTGAATTTTAAAAATCTATTCAAGATTGTGGATTAAAATGTGGACGAAAAATTTACCACGTTTTTGCTAATTATAAAGAAAAGACGTCCTCTTCAAGATAAACCGATGGGCTTTTAAATAACTTCCCGGTTAAAAATTTAAAATGAAAATTTATACATCTTTAAGTTTTAGGAGTTTCTGAACATTTTGGAATACCTTAGAAAAAAATTGATGTATGTGTTTGTGTTCGGATACAAATTATCCCATGCAGGAGATCGCCAGACTTGACAAAGGGGCCAAGCTTGGGCCAGTAATGGGAAGCCTAGCTACGGCATTAACCAGTATTGGGCTGGCGTGGGCCTGGCTACTTAACCGGGCAGCCTCGGCCATGCCAACGATTACCCAGACTTGGGCCAAAACTGG